GAGGGTTTTCCCAAAGATGGCCCCCCGGAGGAAAAACATGACACTTTTAAACAAAACAGGGAAAAAAAAAAAAAAAAAAAAAAAAAAAAATTGCAAAAGCAACAGCGACGATTACACCCTCCAGACAGAAAGGTTTCAATTTCCTCTCAGAAGGAAATGACTTCGGGTTGATACCATTCACTGGAGGCCTCTTGAGGCAACCAATCAAGCTGGATGCCAGCTAATCTTTTTTTTTTTTTTTTCTTATTCTTATAAATGGGGTTTACCTTCTCCTGACTTTTGCTGATTACAGATAGAAGAGGTCTAGCAGCTGCTGCGAAGGGCAGCAAAAGCTTATTTGTGTGAAATGTGGTCTGAGGGTGTCTCTGTGTGTGCGCCGTACTCTGATCTGGTGCTGCCGGGCCTCCTCCATGGTGCTGAGGGCGCAGCAGTGGGCCTCCTGTAACCGATGCTCCCGCCTCTGATGTTCCCTCTGCATCTCTGCAGATGGAAAACGGGAAAAGTTTCGGTTTCTGTCAGTAGTTAGCGTCACACGGCAACACGGCCGAAAGGACGAAGATTATTTCACTGCATCATAACCATAAACTTCGATGTAATGGCTTTATGTGACGGACCAACATAGGCTTAATTATGTGATATTTGAATTTGTATGCCACACTTTTTAGATATTATTTTCTAAAAAAATTTAAAAAATTGTGATTTTCTTTCCACTTCTTTAGATCACATAAAAATCACACCAAGGGAGATGAAAACGTTTGCAAAACATTATTTTGCATTTTAAACTTTGACGGATGCATTATTTTTCAAATTTATTTCTGTTTTTCTGCAGAAATGACTCCAGCTGATATGTGGGATGAAAGTTTGAACGCGTTTAGTGTTTCGCTTAACTTCGAAAGCTAAATAAATAATCTTGAAACTGAGAGACGGCTTTCAGACGAACCTTTAAGCTGTTGGCTCAGCAGCTCCCTCTCCTGGTTGAACTGAGACTGCAGCTGCTGGAGAGCGGACTGAGACTGTGACAGCTGGAGCTCCAGGGACTGTTTCAGGAGTGATATCTGCACAAAAAAAGAAACACAAAACACATTTAATGCCTGAAATAGCAACTAACAACTCTGAACTTCTTTGGTGCAGAAAAAGGCCTGGTTTTTCAAAAAATGCAGAGCAGCTTATTTAAATAGATCAACATTTTCGTGATTCGCTCCTGCACTTGATAATCCTCATCAGAGATAGTCCAGATTTCTGACACTGATGTTGAGAGATGCATAGATTAGAGCTAAAAGCTGGGATTTCACTGCTCTTCATGTTGCTCTAACAGCCAGTCAGAGGAGCAGCGTTAGCGCAGTTAGCTGAATAACAAGCCAAGTAACGAGATGCTAGCAGCTCTGACTGGCAAGAGTTCCTGAGAGAGTCGGCTCTGGTTCCTCAGCCGCCGACGTTAAATCCCCGGCAGGATTTATCAGTGTAGAAGTACAAGAGCAGAGGCTGTAAGGTAAGATGGATTTAAAATGAGAGGATGGGGGAAATTAGGATTGGGAAGACGTCTGTGAGCTTCTTCACTAGCTGAAGATTTAAAGACGAGCAGCCAGCTGACCCGCTCGCCTTACAAAAAAAAGTCCTTCGAATTCACAGGGAGAATAAAGCAAATATGTTCGGCAACCTCCGAGCTTCTGGTTTATAATTAAACGCACTCTAGAGCACAAACACCTACACACACAAGCTGCAGCCTGGGGTGAGACTCTGGTAATTAAAATATCTTAATGAAAAAGATGTCATTATAGATAATCATGGCACATCCAGCCATGCCTGCAACACTGGAAGACTTTCATGTTCTCTAAATAACTTCTTTTAAACACTGAAACACGCACAGCTGAAGATGGCAGAAGGAAGGAAGGATAGAAGAAAAGAAGGAAGCAACGTAGGAAGTAAAAGAATATAGGTAAGGAAGAAAGTAAGGAAGGAATATTTAGAGAATGGGAAAGGGGAATATAGCTTGGAAATAAGAGGAATATATGCAAATCCACCTTGGTTAGGATTCAAACACCAAACTTTCAAGCTACAAGGCAACACTTGTAACCAGATTTAATCTAAATCTGACTTAGGCTAAATATCCTAAACAACTATTAACAGCACGTATACTTTTGACCCAGAGTGTGTTGGAGAAATCTCCCATCAAATTCAAACTTGCACATCAATCTCTCTTAAAAATCCTTAGAGTCAGGGGTTGTAATATACATAAGTAATGGTACTATGGCTGCATCAAGGCCCAAAACGAATGTGATTTATTCATGCTGGACGTAAACATCAGCCTGACTCATCATGTTATGGAGTCTCCATGGAAACGGCTGGTGAAATGAACAGCATAAAAGCCAGTCGGGGTTGCGAGTTCAGCCTGCCACACGTGGGCATCGCTGATGCAGAACCTGTTAGCGCCGATATAAAAGCACGGCTAATTAACTCCTGGAACAATTAATTAGTGAACGGAATCAATAGTGCAGAGAGACGAAATCCTCAAACGCAGATGATGCGAAGACGGAGGAGCTCATGTCGTCATGAGGTTATTTTCGCCTTAAAGGACTCTCTGAGTCTGCAGTTCTGGTGTATCTGCGGTGCTGTAACTAGGTCAATACAGTTAAGATCACTGCATCCAGCACACATGATACAATATTTATACCCAGTCTGAAAGTGCATTGTACAATTTGTTTGCAGCTAAGAGGAAAGCTGTGAGACAGAAGTCGAGCATTTCTCTCTCTCTCTCTCTCGTGGTGTTTAATTAATGCTGGAGTAGACATGAGCGGTGTTTACATCTGGATTAAAAACGAACTTTGGAAATCTTCGTGGATAAGCAGCAGAAACCCCCCCCCCACCTGGGCTCTGTGAAAGCAAACGACATCCCTCCGACGGCATTCTTGTTTGATCCGTGCATGAATGGAGGCTTGAAAGCAAGACGGCAGCTTTGTGCGCGGCTGTCAACAACTGTCAACGCGACGCAACGGATGAGCACGTTTCCCTCAAGTCGGCGTCGAGTCGGAGCGTCTCGTTTCAGGCTGACGGGCAGAGCAGAGCGCACAGCAGAGGCTAGCTGCTACGCAGGCCGCAAACAACAGCTACCAGATGGACTGTATGGCGTCGCAGAATCCGAGATGTAGACGGGATGGGTAATTAATGTCATCGATAAATTATTTTACATTTGCCATTCTTTTTTTTGGAGATGTTGAGTTGGCAGAGCAAATAAATAAGTTGATATAGATTGTAGATGAAAAAAAGGGTCTATTTCTTCAAGTCATTCCTCAATCTTTCATATGAAAGTTGATCTTTTTTCTTTTTTTACTCCTATTTGATCTGCAAAATATATTTCATTCATACACAAAAATACCAAAAGGACCAATAGGAGGAGAACACGATATCCTTCAGACGGGACAAACATCTTTCAGTTTCTATTTATAACAAAACGATAACTAAATTATTTAGCGTTTATAAAGTAAATGCTCAATGCAAAAAGCAATTTGGAGTTTGTCTGAAGTAGGCTTTTAAGTCCAAATTTACAGAAAAAAAAAAACAAAAACGGACAAATGCAAAGAAACGTGTGTGTTCTGCAAATGATCCATATCCTAAGATGGAATTTTTCTGCAGTATACTGAAATTGTCCAAAACAAAAACTAACTAAAAGCAATCTTTTGTATGGCTTTCTGCAAAATGAAACAACTGTCCTCAAGTGTTCGATTGCTCTTTAACAGAAGTCGAAATCGTGCTCGTCTGGCTCAAACCTGACGTCAAATGTTTATCTGGTGGCCGGCAGCGTTCTGGTCACATCCAGACGTGCCTCTTTCAAGTCTCCGCTGTGACTCAGTGGAGCTCTGAATTACCCAGAGGCAGCGCGCTTCCCAGGAACTGACACGAGTGTAAGGAGGAAAAAAAAACACCCCAACACCTCCAACCGTCCCTCCTCTGCTAATTTTAAATTCTAATAAAAAAGCAAAACAGTAGCTGCAGGGATTCGAGAAAACGAATACATATCAGTTTCGAACACACACACACACACACACACACACACACACACACACACACACTCCAGGTCTTCTTCAGGATAACATGCAGCATGCATATGCATATCCTCACAGGACTAAAACCATGTTGCTTTGGCAAAAGAAAAAGTTATAAAAACAAGCTTTTATACATCGCTGTGAGCAAAGAAGAGTAAACCTGAAAACAACAAATTAAATCCCTCATTTCTCTAACCAAGTTATTGCTGCTTTGACAGTTTCCGGATGTAAATTACAAAACGGGTGAGTTAATGAAGTCACTAGCAGAACGGGAAGCCTGTGAACGTGAGATTGGTTGCATGTCTGTCTCCCCTGACAGGCCGTTCTGCCTCAGCCTGTCAACAGACGGCGACATCAAGTGGAGCCGTCACTCACAGACGCGCCCAATGTGGCAGACGGGTCAAAGGTTATCGCTTTGTTCAGAATAAACAAAAAAAAAAGATCAAGAAATCCGTCCTCCCACTCCCATCTGGTCCAAATTTGGCTTTCTATTTCCAGCAGCCCCTTCACTCCCATTTTTGTGGGATTCATATGAAGTTAATTAATTTATTTTTTTAAAGCCTGTTAGCTTGTTTATGCTTTTGTACTTTATTCAGTGTGGAATAAATCACTGCCCACTTTTTTTCAGGGACACCAGAGCTCAGTGTCAAACTTCTGGCTTTTATTTTATTTTGGTTCAGATTTAAATTGCAACCATTTGAGGTTTTCTTAGTGAGAAAATGAAATGCAGAGAGAAAGGGAGAGTTGGTTTGTTTCTAATGTTTCTTCAAATCAGCTTGTTCGTTGTTTCACTTTATCATTTCCTGCAGAGATGTTTCCCATTTGGGTTTCTTTTATTCAGCCGGGTTCAAGCTTTGACAGGTTGAGACACGTTTATTTTTGCTCATTTTTCAACAATTTCTTTGGGGAATTTAGAGGCAAAGATGCAGAAGAGTAAGGGTCACGACCTTAGCCTGAATGAGTTTAGTGCCACCATGTTTTACCTGCTCCAGCAGATCTTCCACTTTCCTCTGCCAGGCTTCTCGTGACGCCATCAGCTCCAGCTCCTTCTGTTGGGAAAGCTGACTGAGAGCCGCCTGCTTGTCGGCTTCGTACTCCTCGCTCAGCTCGTCCTTCAACAAACGCACCTCCTCCCTGGAGAAGGCAGTGGAAATATTTCATATAGAAACATTACACACAGAGTGACATCTTTTGTGTTTTTAGCTCATTTTGATGATTGTGACTTGTAGCTGAAAATACATATTTTTCTTCCACTGGACTTTCCATTAATATCCTTGGATACATTACATTCAATAACATTCCTGTATTAAAAATCCCTGTATGTTGGTCTTAAGTGACTTTTTATAACTATTGGAGAGATTAAATCCTGGTTTTCAAAAATAAAAGTCTAAAATATTGCATGAGATTTATTTATTAGTTTATAAGTTATAATACCAGAATCAAGTTCTATGAGAGTAAAGTCATAATTATATGAAAATAAAGTCATAATATGAGAATAAAGTTAACTTTTTTTCTCGTAATACTATGACTTATACTATTACAAGCTGTGGTAGAGTTACTCATATAACACAAAAAAATAATGTATTATTTTGACTTTATTCTTGTAATTAAAAAAAAAAAAAAAAACTTTATCCGTTGAAGCAAATTTTTCAGACGCGTCTGCGTTAATATTCTGTGCTTGTGTGTTTAGTCTCCAGCTGGCATAAGGAGATCTGCAAATATTTCATCAGTCTGGGAAATTAGGGGTTTGTTTTTATTCCGTCTCATTAGTAGCCATCCGTTCTTGGACAGCAAGAAGCTGTCCGCCTCTGATAATAAGGGCGACCGCGGCAGGATGGTGAGGAGTGACAGACACGAATTAGAAGACAAATAGCAAAACCAAAAACGAGACAGCTGAGACCGACAGGCTGACAGGGATGAGATGGGATTCGTTTCCTCCTCACCGCAGAGCATCCCTCCACTTCTGATCCAAGTCGTCCGCCATCTTGTCGATCTTCTGTTTCTCCTCCGTGCGGATGGCCATCACCCTGGCATCATGCTGCTGCTTCTGGGTCTCAATCTCCTCCTGGGAGCACAAATGAGGTAATTCAAATGCATTCTTGTGTCTTTTTTCTTTTTCCTGAATTAAGCAGAAGAAGCTTTTTTTTTTTTTTTTTTAAAGAATAAATAAATTCTGCCGGGTGACACACAGCACCTCAACCTCCACGTCCATTTATAAAGTGCTGCTTTTGATGCGAACTTCATCAGGTCAGTCATTTCCAGCAGCTGAAGAGGATTCAGAGCTTATGTGCCGATGAGCTCATTATAAGACCTTTAAATGCTCTTATTTTTAGCTGCGAGGGGAAGCGCTGCTCGAGTGGGTAAATCCAAACTCTGCTGCTTCGGAGAACTAATTACGACAGGATGACATTTTACATTTTGCTGTGTCTAAATAAGGGTTAGCATGGCTCAGATGTTTGTTTTTCTTATGTAAAATTTCACTTTTAGGATAAAGACAAAGACATAAAAAGAGAAAATTATAGCAGTGAAGCTTGAAAATGACTCTTTCTGCATAGATTTGCTATATGTTTGGAGAGAGTCTGTTATGGAGACATGCTGACGTCATCTCTGTGTGCTTGTTGTTTTTCTTCCTCTTTTCCACGAGCTCAGCTGTTTTAAGTTAAACTAGTTCTTTATCATGACTGGAATCGTTTGCAGAGTTATTGCAGCAATTAATAATGCATAGTCATTTTATTTTCCAGAAAAGCTTTTCCCACTCCAGAGTTTGTGTGTTTACATTTGTCATCACTAAAACCATTGCTGCAATTATGCATGTGTTCAATTTCCACCCCCTCCCACCCATTTCTTACTTAAAAAGGTCGTTAGCTTATTTACTCCTCTGACAACACCACCGCAGCAGTAATTAAGCCAAAATTGCACAAAAATATATATGTACATTTTGCATTTAAGATAAAAAAAAACATCCCTTGTTTCTCTGTGAATAAGTTCTGCAGATGCATCTTTTGCTACACTGGTCAAGAGAACACTAAAGGAATTCTATGATTTTGCAAGGAATTAATTATATTATTTATTTATTTATTTATTAGGTAAAACTGAAATGGAAACACTTTTTTCACGTCATACAACGTGATCACGTGATCAACAAGTTACCGTCGGTGCAAACAATGAAGAAGACAACAGGAAGTAGTCGGAGGATGATGTTTTTTAATGACTTGTCGCGTGAACAAACTTAATCACGTGGGATTTTAATTGCATTTCTCACTTAATGGAAACAACATAATTGCAAAATTTTGTTTTTGTTTTTCGACATTAGTGAAACATGACAAAGTTTTGTGTACACTGGTCATGAAAACGCAGCTACCGTCAGCATCTAAGCCAATCACTTTAGTTGTCTTAGGACCAAGGGGATTCAAATAGGTAATATTCCCACTTTATGTATCGTGATGTTATCACGATACATAAAGGTGATAAAAATAAAAAATAGAAAACTTGCTGACATTTCTGGCTTCTTTCCCAGTTCGTCCTACCGAGTCAACCAGCTTTAGTCCCCACAAAACAAAGCGTGTTCTAATTTTAAAGTAAATCTGGCCCCAGTCGATTTTGTGCTTTTGTCTAAAACGCAATGAGCTAAAAAGCGAATAAAAGGTAAAATCCTGCGTTCAGCTCTGCCAAATCCCTTCCTTTATATAGACACAGGCACTATTAAGACAGAAAAGCAGACCACTGCAATTTCAGCTAATTATTGCTTCTCATTTCATCTCTCCCTCTTCATTCTCTCCGTTGCAATCCATGTCTCCCTCATTTACTTTTTCATTCAAATTATTATAATGGAGTAAAAACGCACTATGGTATCGATGGTCAGAATTAGCATTAAAATATACAGTCTGTCCTCCGTAAACAGCACGTTCCACAGTGTATACATGCTCACAGGGCTCGCACCGACAGAGTTCCTTTCAGACATGCGGCCACTCAACTCATAATAGCTTCATCATCATTATCCCACAGATGGCCTTCAGCGCAGCACTTGTTTCCTTCATTTCCTCCCGCTCTGCTCTCCAAACGCGTTTCGGTCCTCCCGTTTCGCCGCTTTTCAGTCCCTTCTTTTTCGCGTCTGAGAGCCGAGAAACTTCCCCTACCCATCGTCTGCAAACTCGCCGAACGTCTGAGACGCGAAGTTTAAACCGAATCAGCGGGAGACGGAGCGGCGAAGCTTCTCGAGAGTTACAGGGTGCAAGTCCTGGTCAACATTTGTTGGATTAAACTTGACAAAAAAAAAAAAAAAAACTACACAAATAAATCATGCAACAGTGAACTTTGATATTATTAATTCAGCCTTGTGCAACTTGCACAGAATGTCCACTTTATTAAATGTTTCTGATCGTCAGATTAATTTTAGCAGCAGAAGGTTTTTCTAATATCTTGCAGCCCGGCTTTTTACAAAATATTACTACGTTTGCCAACAAGTATGCATCTATAATATGATTATAGATGCAAAAAGAGGTATAAGCGAATAACTGGTGCTACAAATATTTTATTAGTCTGCTTCTATTGCTTTCTAATCTGAAGGTGGGATTTGGTGAGGCAAAGGAAAGAAGGGAAGAGAGAAGGAAAGAAGGAAAAGAGGGACAACAGGAGGAAAGGAAGGAAAAAGGATGCAGTGACGCAAGGAAATAAAGGAAGTAGGAAGGAATGAAAATGAAAGAAAGAAGAAATTACACAAGTCTTTTTGCACACTATAATTATTTTCCTTACTTATCCAGATTTGGAAGATATTTCAATTAAAATTCAATTACCAATTTAGCAGCGATTCTACAAAACACAGTTTGAGATTCACAAAAGCTTCGTTCTGTTTTTTGTGGAAGAATCTCCGCTGATGTTTCATGTGAGAAAGATGCAGCCACAGAAGACTTTAGAGGTCAGGACTGGAGAGATTTCTCAGATTTTCTTAGTGGAAAATCCCGTTTATAGGATTGTTCCAGTGGATTTATCCTTCTATGAACTCCAAATCACAGATATCCAAGTGTGGCACTTTGATATAACACTATATTTCTTTTTTCTGCTGTTGAAGAAATGTAAATCCTTTACATGTTATTGATTATCCTGAGCTTGTAGGTCCAAATATTGATCAAATAGAGCAACACATTTTATGTACGTGTGCAGAGAGAACCAGAATCACACTAAACAGAGTTCCAACAAGTTACATTAAAAAGATACTTTAGCAGTATTCTTCTTATTGTTCTTTTTACTTTTACTTTAGGAATTTTGTTATAAAGTATCGCTACTCTTACTTGAGTAAAATTATTGTGGTTATTGTAAATGGATATACAAATAAATGTATTTCTTTATTTTATATTTTGGTCTGTCTGATTCTGTCATTTTTAAATATTACACGTGTAATTTCTTGAATGACTCCTTTTTCACTCTTACTTAAGTACAATTTTTGGGAACTTTACTCACTTCTGATATTAAAATGTTAATTTAAATGTTACTTTGCAGTTATGCGTGATATAAAAATAACATTTTCTGATGTACGTATACATGGGAATAGCAAAAGTGAGTAAAAAGCATGAAAATCAGGAACGTCTGGAGAACTGTGCTGCCGACTCTCACCTGTAGGTCAGTGAGCAGGTTGCTGGTCTCTCGCACGCGGCCTCTGGTTGCGTCCAGCTCTATCCGCAGCTTCTCCTGGGTTTCCTTCAGGCAGCTTATCTGCGTCTGAGCCGAATTCAGGTTCTGCTCCCCCTCCCTCACGATCTCCTGCAGGTGGGACACCTGAGGAGGAACCGGCGGCGGAGGTTACCGCGTTGTCACTGGGAAAGTATCGGACGCGTATGAATCATTTCCCACCTCCTGATTGGCCATGTTGAGTTTGGCCGTGAGCTCCTCCTTCAAGTTGTCCAGTTGCTGCTGAAGGCGATCTCTCTGCTCCTCTAAGGACAGACGTTTAATCTCAAACTCCTGGCTCATTTTCTGGACAGAAGGGGAAAAAAAGAAGAAGAAGCAGCAGTGAGATTTAGATGAATCGCCCCTGATTGGAGTTTCATTCATCATCCTGATACAATTTATCAGCTGCCTGCACAGACAGTGAAGACTTGGTGGCCCATTTACCCTTCAATAAACCAAAAATAAAATCTACACAGAAAAAAAAAAAAAAACCCAGCAGATTTAATAAGCCGCCCCTACTGTAAATCCCATTTGTGACGTGGTATGGCGGCCTGGCAGCCGTTCGGCGCGGCAGAGCGTTACTGGATGAGGAGGAGGCACATGACTTGTCATTTACACTTTAAAAGGCCGTCTGGTGGAAGCGACCACTCGGTTTAATCCTTCAAGCCGAAGCATCAAATCCTTTTCCGGGCCACTCGGAATTTCTCTTGTGGAAATCTCCTCCTCACATCCGCTTCTCGCCGTTTCTTATTTACTCCTGGTAATTCATCCACGTGTGCTGCTTTATAAAAACGCACAAAGCATTTCTGTGCTCTGCTAACGCCGCAACAGGGGCTTTGCCGAAGCGGGTTTTTCCTCTTTCCTTTCGGATACTATTAATTAAGCTGAATTCGTGTCGTTACATATTTATGAGTGCGTGTAAAACCCCTTATCCCGTTGTATCCCGTCGATGCTATTCGTGTCATTTCTGCTGTATTTGCTCTTCCTTAATGTGTTTTCTTGTATGGATTCATTGAAGCAGATGCGACATTATGCATAAAAATCGACTGCAAACTGCCGCCTTAGATCCACCTTGACTTTTTTTTTTTTTTTCCCCCCAACTAGACGAAGCGACCGGGAAAACAGACGTTTCCATCTGGGTGTTTTATTGCGCAATTTGAAATCCCTGAAAATCTGCAGCCTCAGCTGGATAAATATCGATTCGGGGAGTAATTTACAAACATGGCTAATGCTCTGAATCGCGAAGGTGTGACCGCAGGAGTATTCCTCTCTGTAATGTGGACAAACCGCAAAGCGAGAGCTCATTTCATGCAGGCCAGATGGGAGCGGAGCAGAAATCCCTACCACAAGTGACAACAGAGGCTCTTGTCTTAAGCTCATGTATATTAATGTGTATATACTTGAGCGTGCATGTCAAAATACTTGCCCCCTAGCAAGTTTCACCTCAGCTACATGCTCTTTGTAGCTTCTTGCATCATTTTGACAAGGGACTAACTCATTGAAATGCATTGGTGTCCTTGCACAGGCCTTGTTTCAAAGCGTAGCGCTCAAATTTTCAACACGGCTAAGTCCTGCTCTGTGTGACGGCGGCTGCAGAAGCTTAATGTCCATTTATCATTGATCATATTTTAGAAAACCAGAGTCAATCTGCTTTTCCATTTGGTTTGAAAATGGATAACAGGCATTTAAATAAATATTTGGTGGCTGTAATACACTAGCAGCATAAGAGGTCAGGAAAACAGATGTAGCAAATGAGCTAAATGCCGAAGAAGAACTTCAACTTCATTTCCATCCAACGTTAATTCACAGCCACAAGATGGCTCTTTATCCAAGAGCTGCCGTCCGAGTTTTAGCGACTAACATTTGTTTGGTAACTTTGGAGGAGCAGCAGAAATCCACAGCTCGGCTTGGAGAAAATGTTAAGTTAAAATATTTTTACAAAGCTTGGCACATTTTATGTTCCTGATTCCAGTAGATTAATGAGAAAGAAACACTGTTTACAGTAAATGAAACGGTACGGAGAGTAAAAACATCTACAGCTTCTCGCACTGCGATTTATCCTAACCCAGTTTAAATTTGATCTCCACTTACAAAACAAACACCAAAACGTCTTCTTGTATCTAGATTGTTTGTTAAGAGTCGGAGTTGATCATAAAAAAGGGACAAACAAAAATGAACAAATTCAATTATGTTGCTCTCTATTGTAAACAAACTTATTTCACCTCAATTTATTCGTAAAATACAAAGAAAAAGAAAAACTCTGGTAAATGTATAATGTGTATTCAGAGAGAAACATGAAATGCAACAAGAGTACAAAAGCGGACCGACGACAGCTGAGGCTGATCTTGTCTTCTTTATAAGAGATCAGATTAAACAGCAAGGAAAAAAAATAATAAAATCAGCGTCGATGTTCCAGTGCTGGTAGAAAAGAAAAGGGACACTGTCACGGTAAATGGTCCAGGTTAAATTAATTTAACCTGCATAATGTGATCAGTAGTTCTTCCTGCTCCTCCAGCAGAGAGGACATCTGTATTCCTCTCACGCAGCCACTTTAAACTGTGAGACACAAAGGAGGAAGAATGCGAAGGGCGGAGGAGAGACGGAGAGACGGAGAGAGGGAAGGACGACGGAACTGATGACAGGGTGAAAGACGCAGCAGGAAACAAACGGAGGCTGATGCGGTTTTTCAAGCTTTAGCCTTAATGTTGACCCAATTAGATGTGTGCAGCCGGCTGACGGTTTTGCGCAGTTCCTGGAACAGATCGGGACGATGTGAGGGGAAAATGGAACGGCTGCGCAACACGACTTATTGTTTTAAATTGCACTCAAATTCACACCATTTTAAACTCTCATTTTTTTTGGAAGGTTACAAAACACAAACTCTGGATTTGGATTTTCTATGACGGACCAACACGAAGCAGAGCGTAACTGCAAAGGGGAAGAAAAATAATGAATGGTTTTCATATTTTTGCATGCATTTGCATTTATCGCCCCCTGAATTCATACTTTGTAGAGTGTTTGCTTTTAAATGCAATTACAGCTGCAAGTCTTTTGGGTTTTGCTGCATGATAAACAGGGCTAAACACGCTTTCCACATTCTGTTACAAACAAGAATTTGATTTGGCTACTAACAATTCCCATGTACTCTGTGTTGTTCTATCATATAACCAGTAAAATGCGCTAACATTTGCAAAGTGAAAGTTATTAAGTGTGTGAATATTTTAGCCAAACACAAATTAATTTAGATTTTTTTTTGTGTCTCAATACAATATCAGCCTCACCGTAACAAGGAGTTTCTTCTCATCCTCCTTCTCCTGCTGGGCCTCCTCCCTCAGCGCCCGGTGCTTCTCCTCCAGCTCCTCCAGCGCTCGGACCTGAGCCTCCTTAAAGCGCAGCGTCTCCTCTTCGTAGTGAGCCCTCAGCCTGGACAGCTCCTTCTCATAGCCCTGATGCTCCTCCCGAAGAGACTGATGCATGGAGAAAGGAGTTTATCCGTTTGAACGTTCAGTTCTCTCCTTCTGTCTCTCGCGGCGGCGGACGGGGAAAACTCGTACCTGCTCCAGTTTGAGCACCTGCTGCTTGTGCTGGTCGCTGGCGGCCTGGCTCTGGTTCAGCAGGGCCTCCCTCTCCTCCTCCAGCCGGCCGATCTTCTCCTTGAGGCGACTCTGCTCCTGGTCCAGGTTCCTGATGGTCGCCTCATGAGCCATCTGGGTGGCCTGCAAGGAACCAATCTGACCTGGAAATATTGGAGTCAAAAAAGAAAAAATCAGACACCAGACCATAACAAATCATTTCAGCTGAGTGACTCTCCTGTGGCGCCCTTCAGATATCTGGTTTGGGATCTGTTACCTCATACTTATGCTCCCAAATTATACTTCTAAATTGCAAGTAATCATAATTAGCCCTGTGGTTTGAGCAGCTTCTTTATTTTCCCCTCTAGTTTGTGTGTCTTATCCAATAAAACCAGATATTTTCCAACTCGAACATTTATTTTAATTAGGGATGCACTGATACACTTGTTCTTACTTCTGACACTGATGCCGATATCTGAGGATCAGAATCGGCCGATACCGATTTGATACAGAAAAACAACAGCATCTCTGACTTTAATGCCTTTTCTCCTACATGTAACGCCAGGTTTGTTTGATCTAAGCTGACGGGTCGCCATGGATACAGATCAGCTCTGTGCCTATGGGAAACTAAAAGCGATTAATGTGTCTAGAGGTGCAGTTTAGTCATCTCAGCAAAACTGTGTAGGATTATATGGCGTAGCTAAAGTATTTAGAGTATTAATTCAAATCGTAACCATTTATTCATGATGTCAAGCTTTAAATGAGGAACCTGAAAAAAACCCAGTATTCATCCTGGACAAAATTCCACGAGCAGTCCAGACTCAGAAACCTATTTCAGAGTCACGTCTTACTGGCTTTGTGGAGGATTTCTGTGGCCTGCTGCTGCACCCGTTCCCTGCTGCTCTCCAGTTCATACTCGGTGTCCTTCAGCTGCATCACCCAGATTTCTCCATCCTGGATGGCTTCTTCCAGCTGCTTGTGCAGGTTCTGCAACACACCCACACCCACACACACACACACACACGGACACACACTCGTGATGCTACCATTCGAGCCTCTCCTGTGCGCACGAGCCTGCAGCTCTGTCAGAGCACACTACATTACCTTTCCTCCTGCTCGAAAACAGATTCCACCCCGAGGCTTTTACTTCTGCCTTTGTTCTCAGCAGTGGTTTTTCATTCAATTTAACCCACTTTCACCAGAGTGTAACCAGACAAAGGGGGATTCTTGCACAATTGTATGCATTTTTGATGTGAAATGACAACCTAATTGAGCCCAGAATGGAAAATACTGACGATATTGCAAACATATCTGAGTGTCTATATGGTGTCTGTAAAAGTGTTTAAATACATCTTAAAGATTTTGGCAGTTTTTCATACTAAAAGAACCAAATTCAATCTGTTTCACAGGGTTTAATTGTTGCTATTATTTACCGTTTCTATACTTGGTGTTTCATTCATACATGTTGCTTTTATTTTGATTGGTCCAGATGCTCTAGCTGCTGAAAATCAATCCATTTTACCTCTTACAACACATTTGTCAACACAAATTGTGCATTATTGTGAAGCGAGAAGAAAATAAAACATGGATTTCAACATTTTTTGAATCTTTCGTTCAGTCTTCTTTGTGGAGTCTGCCAAAGATCCTCAGTTGGATTTAAGCCGGTGATTTGACTAGTTTGTTCTAATACATAAAAAGGAAATCTTCAAACAAACAAATCCGGTGCTTCACAGCTTAAGGACATTAAAACTTGCAAAAACAGAAAAGCTCCAGCTTTTACTGTGGAAACTTCATTATTTTTTCACAACACAAGACAAAAACCACTGCCTCTGTTTTAAGCCTTTTGAAGTCTCTTAACACGTTTTTCTGCATGGCTCGCTGTAAACCACCAACTGACCTGTTGTAGCTTTGTTCCAAAATTGCTACTTTTACCAAAATTTCACAAAGATCATAACCTGTTTGGCAAAAGGAGCTGCACATGTCTGGTTAGTGCAGATTAAATATGATTTCTTCACTTTGACGCACCTTAATGGTTCCCTCTGCGTTGGCCAGCGATGTCTGCAGCCTGTTGGTCTTGTCCCGGTTCTCCCGGGCCTCCTCCTGAGCTTTCTGCAGCTCGCTCCTCAGCTTGGACAGCGACCGCTGCAGCGCCGCCTCCTGAGCCTGGAACTCCTTCCGCAGCTCCACCTAAATGGGAGCAGAGACGTATTAAACACGAAAAAAGAAGAAGAATCAGTTGGGTTTTTTTTTTTTTTTTTTTTTTTTTTTTTTTTTCCCCCTTCCCCCCCTTCTTTTTCCAACCGGGGGTTTTTTTTGGTTCCGCGGGGGCGCCCCCCTTCTCGCC